AATATTATTGTATTCGAACATTTTCTCAACATTACCTACGAATATATCTGTAGTAGTGAAAGTGATGAAATTATCAGCACTCCACCGGAGATTTTAGAAAAAGCTCAAGCTGCCACACATAATTTGTTACCGCTAAAATCCAAAAAAAAGTACGATATTACCTATGGAAAATTTATAGATTGGCGACACAAGCATATGTCCTTTATTTAATAGAAGAAAATAAGTGGGCGTAGAAAAAGTATAGTACGTTACACGATTTGTAAGCCCATTATGCACTCGCCGCTGCGCGACTTCGTGCGTAAACTTTTCCACTTTGTGCGTAATGGGTTACTTACAACTCTTGTTACGTAATATACTATTATGTTTGTCAATTAAAAGAATGAAGTTATGCATATGCACATAACAATACAAGAAAGTAATATTGGTTGCATAGATGTCAGTAATATTTACCAAAACAGAATTTTAAAAATAATCTAGTCAAAATTAGAAAAAATATTGTATATAACGCGTTACAAAAGCCGTTTTTTGAAACTGACTCTTATTGCGGAACCTCGCTCTGCCCTTCCCGCAAATATTCACTCGTTACATAAAACAAGGCATTTCGTAACTAGTTGCATAAATATCTATTTGGTGAAAAGTAAACATTTAATCAAAAAAAATTTGAAGGACTTTATTACCTTTGATTTTGATTAAACTCATTTCATATTTTTGTTAGCTACTCTATTCACAGAAAGTTGGGTAGACATCCAATATAATGACATGACAGTAAAAGTTACTAATTAATTATTAAAATTTAAATCGATATTTCAAAGTCCACTCACAGCAGTGAAAGTAATTTTAATTCTGACAGTCAAGAGTGCTGTGTCATATAATTATATTTTGACTGATTTATAGATATAAGCAAATTATGAAAAAACAAAAATTGAGTACCTATTTAAGCACTTACTGAATGCAGTCAATCAAACAGTTTTAAGTTAATTAGTGATTTCCAGAAATTCAACTGGAAAATTAAATGCTAATAACCAAAATATTTAAATATTGTAATAATGTCTAAAAAGATATCAATTTTACTAGGAAACTCATTAATTAATTATATAGGTATATTCAGTTTTATTCCCACGACCATGGGGAATCATGCCCTCAATCGAGCAACTTAAAAACAACTATAATTAGGTTTCTAAGTACACATGGGGTAATTTGATCTAAGTGTGTAAGTGGTTTGTTGAATTTTCCAAAACATCAATCAATATTTTATGAAAAGAAAATAGTAGTTTGTACAAGGTGGATATGATGGCCAATCCTCGGGCCAATCGCACGAAGACGAAATTTAAGTACGACGCCAAAGGAGGAGTTCTCAATCGTCTGAGTGCGATACTCGAGTTGAAAGGTATATTTTTTTACGACCCACTAACGAAAATCTAAAAAATTTAAAAATTATTTTAGGTTATTAATATAAAATTTATTTAATAATAATTTATGACTTTTGCTAATTTATCTAATAAAATAAACTTGAAATAAAAATAGAAATGCTATTATTTATCGATTCTACACAATAACGCATTTTAATGTATATTTAATCCTAATAACTAAAAATAAACTGACAATTAAGTTGACAGAATTATCACTTTTTTAAAATTTAAAGAAATAATAGTAGCCGGGTTATCAAAATATGAACTGTGATTGGTGGATTTCATTTTTTTGCAGTGTTCTTACTAGGTAGAATGGATATGAAATACAGGGTGTTTCTAAATTCATGCGACAAAATTTAGGAGGTGATTGCTCGTATGAAATTAAGATGGGTGTTTCCTATAACAAAATTTCCTCAACCCACACATTTCCGAGATATCACCCTTAAAAGGTGTTGACTAAAATTGAGTTTTTATTTTTTCTAAAATTTCAGTGAAGCTAGAAACTTGAAATTTTGTAATTTTCGTGCACTCGCAAAGGACTAACCACGGGTATTTTTTCAATATTCCTATTACATTATAGAGGGGTGAAATTAGCAACCCTTACTTTATTTCATCTCGAAAAAAAGTTTTGATATTAGTGGCTAAAACGCCTTATTGAGTGCTATCTTCTGATGTAAACTGGTGTAAATCATTGCAGGAAACGAATTATGACAGAGTGTACGATACGATAGTAACAGTCGCGTTACAACAGAAGGCGGCAATTAACGAGGCCTTTTAGCCACTAATTTTGGCGAATTTTAAAATATTATTAAGACATTAAGAGTTCAAATTTCCGGATTATATTAATTAGTACTGTTGAGGAATGCATTTATTTTCATTATGATATTTCAAAATTTAAAGTTTTTTTATTTTTTTCTCGCAAACTGGATGGAATTAAAACTTTAATATATATGCATATTCTAGATATTATTGCCTAAAGGGTGCTGTATTCACCTTTTGTATGTTCTTAGTAATTGTGTTTTGTTACAATATTCTAACGTGTTTTAATTTGTTTATTTATTGTAACGTTTATTAAGAAGGTATTAATTCTTATGTATATTTTTATTAAGTATTTATTATTATTAGCTAATACATTCACATTAATATTATATACTATCAAATAGATTATTACTATTATTCATATATATTTATAGGATTATCATTATTCATATATCTATAGGAAGTGAGCTAAATATGGAATACCGTTTTGCTTTTTTTACATATTAAATTCATAATAACATCTTCTGTTTTTTTTATGTATGTTCTTTACACTTTTGAAAACTATAATTTATTATTCATAATATTAAATCTATTATACAGGAGTCACAGAAAAATATTCTACAGACAATTGTATTTTTGTACCTTATACGGAATATGTCCCTAATATGGAACATATTTCACGAAAAAATAAAACAGAACCCTTACCCAAAAAAATATCTTACTTTATGATACATGAAAAAACAAATGAGAACATAAAAGAATTGCACCGGATATATCGGAGGAACGTATTTTAACCATTTTATAATGTTCGTAAAAAAATAATATAATGTTTTCTGCCCCTGAACAGTCGACATAGCATCAATCTAAACATTGCTTATAGTGTATCCACTATTTACCACTGACCTCTTCGAAAAACTTTCCATTTCAATAGAAATAGGTAGAATCCTTGTAGGTTCCAAATTGCCTACAACGCACCATTCCATATTAGGTACATCGCAATTTTAATTTTTATTAACAGATTCACACAATACCCCTAACATTAGTTAAATTTGCCATACCGGAATAAACACATGTTCTGCAGAAAACCTGCGAAATATTCGATTTTACGAAAAAATTAGAAAATCTTGATACGTGAGACGGCATTCATTGCATTTAGGGTTCAATGGTTTCTTAGGGATAAAAAATGATTCTGATTTACGTTACCAAAGCTAGTTTAAGTAATTTAATGGTATTCCATTTAAGGAGCATATTCCATATTTGGCTATTTATTATTAATAATCTTATGTATATTTTTATAGTTATTATTTCATCAGTATGAAGCTACCAATAAACAGGAGTAACTGTCGAACATAACCTTATGATTTTTTTGGACTAACTCGTGTTTATTTACATTGTAAGTGCTATTATTTATTTGTAAAAAAATACTGAAAAAGTATAAAAAATTATTATTATTATTATGGAGAATTCAGCAATAATTAATTGTATTGTTTTGATTTTAGCGCCATCTAGCGGGATAAAAATTGTTACGTATTGTAAAGTGCGACATTTCATTTGAAAACTAATCATATTAGTTATTTAATACGTAGCATAAATTTGATATTTTAGTTGATTTCGATTAAATTTTTATTATCTTAACAAAAGAGCCCTGCAATATTTTACAATTTAAATTCATGTTTCACTCAAATATGTTTTCTTTACTCAAAAGTAACACAATGAATAATCATATTGCTGAATTCTACATAAACTTATTTTTTCAATGATGTGTCGTACTGGTACTTTCTCTATTTAAATTGTATTGGTTAGAGCGATACGACTAATGGCAGGGGAATGACGTATCACCCTGTATAGGGTGTAACAACTAACTTGGTTAAAAGGACCATCGCTTGTCACCAAATGTAACAATCAGTTAATCTACAGGATAATAGCTGTCGCCAAATGTAACCACTTAATCTAAGGACCCATTTGTAATTAATGATAGGTCTTAAGCTACTGTTGTCAATATACTATTAAGAAATTAAGACATCACCGTCACCAGCTAAAGGGTTCTAGAGTTCCGAAGGAACATTCATTCATCAGTGGCAAAAAATAATAATAAATGAAATAAAAAAATTAAGTATAGTTAAGGGGCTTTGGCAACTAGTTATATACTCTTGTAGTCCTTAGGGGTAGAAACTCCGAGGCTTCACAAATGCTCGGAATATTTCATAACTGGTTTTGGAAAAGGGAGGAGAGAATAATTAATAATAGTGTTAAAATGTTAATTGTTGTAAATTATATGATGATATTCGTCTATGTAGATCAAATATTAGTTCTTGTCAAATGAGATTATATCATTGCGTTGTTGTTTGTAAATCCTACAAAGAAATATTCCCAAAAATTTTGTAGACTTGGGTAATATGATATTTAGATTATTTGTCGTCACTGTTTTTCAAAAAAAGTCCTTGACAGATCATCTGCACACAGAAAAATACATTCTACGTTTATGCATGTTAGTAAATCATTTATAAATATAAGAAAACTCAATGGTCCCAATACGGATCCTTGCGGAACTCTCATATCTACATTAACTTTATTTGAAGAGCTTTATGAACCTTGACAATAATTTTTCTGTCTTAAAATTTTGTCTCGAAAATTAAGCAATAAATGCGTGGTATATTCTTCATTTTTGTATTTGGTATTTCAAATTGTACCAATAAACATTATTCTTCCAATTATATTAAATTAAAAAAAAACAAAAATATTTGTCAAAAATCTCTCGTGAATTAAATTCCAATATTTACTATTTTTTTTTTTTTTTTTTCAGAACATTCAATAATTCAAAATCTAACTTACTAAAAGAACAAAACAAACTATCATCTTGCATTTCACCCACTTCACCCAATTCACTTCTTCCCGGGGAAGTCCAGCGTCTTGTCCAGCATTTTCAGCACACGATTTGGCGCTTTTTTTTTTCCAAAAAAAGAAAAGCAGTCAAGCAGAAGAAAAACGCCTAGGAGGTTGGAAAGCGCGACCTACTAGCACTAGCGGTGCGGTTCACACAGTCACAGACTTAACAGTTTAGTCAGTCACCAGTGCCAATGAAGAACTAAAACTGTGGTGGCCTAAAGAGTTCAGTAACGAGACGTAGTCAATGGTGATGGAATGAGCGGCCGTACACTACTTACCGTCTTCTTCATTTTCATATGTGTATGTTTATATGATCATTATTTTCAGTATATGTTAATTTCCAAATGTACTTTTTCTTTGGTTCTCTTTTATTTATCTAAATGAATAATTTAATTTAAGATTCTTAGTGGTGCTGCATTTGTAGTAAAAAAATTCAAAATGTAGCTTTATTGATTCAGTTTGATCGGATCTAGTGACCCATTATAGCTGCAAAGTTGTTGCTCATAGAAAAGTTGCTTTTTTAACCTACTTAGATAATAATATATTAAAATAAAAATTTCTACATCTGGGGGTCGATTCTCGACTTTTATTCCCATGGGAAAATAAAATTTTCCCATGGGAATTCAGTTTTCGTATTCTCGGCACAAGCGGTGGAATATTTTCCAATGAGAAGTATGGGAAAATATTCCCCTGCTTACGAGCATTGGAAATTGTGTTTTCCAATGGGAATTGTACTAGAGTTTGCGCATTAAAGTCGAAAATTTGACGAAAGACTACGCGAAAGACTAAGACATAACCAAAGATTATTGGATATCTTGGATTTTTGGTGAAATTGTAGTTAAAACATTTATAGATTGATATTATTTTATTTATGTGGGTATATTATTTTTACCTCTCTTTCACTAAGAAACTGATTTTCTTAAATTAGTTAGAAATTGTGGTAGCTGCTAAGGGACTGGCAAATAGGTAACACAAATAGAGAAATTTGTAGTAAATTTAATAAGACCTTTTCGAAAATTTTATTATTTCCGTTAACGAAAGAATTTCTTAGATTCTCGAAACTTTCGTTGCTCTTCTATACAAAAGCTACTTTTTCTTTTTTCAATATGTGAAAAGAAAAATTAAAAATAACTCGAAAAGTTTTAATTATACATAATCGAATATTTTCACTTGTCCTCGGTCAAGCTAGCGATTGCTCGGCACGGCATCTGCTCCAGCGCAGAGGCTCGGCAGGTAATCGGTTACCCAAAAACCACAACAAATAAAAATAATACCAACAGTAAATTTTAAAATATCTTTAATGTTATTGGTTATTTCGAAATATTCGTGAACTTAATATCAGACATACGTGAAACTATTATTTCCATGGGAATGTCTATTCCGACAAGTTCGAGAATTGCATAACCTATTGCCATGGGAATATAAGTAGTGGAATCTTTTCCCATGGAAAAATTTTCCAATGAACTCGAGAATCGAGCCCCTGGTTGGAATATGAGAGGATTAGGCAAGATGTTTGGTATGGGTATAGCGTGCCCATCATCTTCGGTGATTAAACCACCTAAAAATAGCCCGACGTTAAATTAAGAAAATAAAAAAAAGCACCCTTAAGAAAAATTGTATTCGTCTGTGTTTTTGCAAGAATCAGATTGGTTTTTAGATGATTAAATAAAAAGTTTTACTCCAGTATTGTTCTAGATAGGCAATTTACAGTGTTACTGAAAGCAGCTATATGTGAATAAATAATTATGTTTAATAATTAACAATCATCATTTTAGTTTATTCCAATTTTCTATGTTAATTAAAAAGAAGTATTTTTTCCCCATTTAAATATTTATTTTGTAATTACTGAATTTCAATAATATAAATATTGATTAAACGTATATGTTAATTGGTTTTTAATAATTTACCGTTAATAAGTAGAAAATAAAATATAAATTAAACAAAAATAAAAGAAAAACAAATCAATAATCAATACTAAAATATATTTATTTTTCTGGAAACAAAAAATACTGTTAACAATAAATGCTATAATTTTTTAATCATACCAAATCATTGTATAATTAAAAGATTTGAGCATTAACCAAGTTGCTGAATAGTATATTCCAACAGAGTAACGTACTGTAGTTTCTCCACTGCCACAGGCACAGTAGGAGTTGAATATAGTAAAATAAAACTGAACAAAATGAATTTTTTTTTAATATAATTTATGTTAGGCAAGTTTTTACTGTAACAGCCCACCTACTGGTCGCTTCTTGAATGATCAAAAACATGTGCAAAGTAATTGTAATGTAGTGTAGTCCTACTGGAATAGATCCAGGTCTCAGACCGTCCAATCCTGGAGTAACATGAAGCATATTTGTGTAAAATGTGAGTCCAGCTACCTGAAGTGTCATTTACCCCCGTCAGCTGAGCTGTTAATTTATTAGCTATTAGTGATGGTGTATCGGCATTTTACTAGACCAAATTCTTAAATAATTTAAGGCTGGTATAATAAAACGGCAAATTCATACTGGGATGTGTCCATCTAGAGACCCAAATGTGACGCTTAATGAATAATACATTTTTATAATAATGAATAATATAATAATAAACCTCTTTTAAGTAACTTACTCACCATCTATTTCTGACGTTTGTATATTGTTGTTTTATATGATTGCTGATTTGGAAATATTGAACAGGGCCATCGGGATGTAGAAGCATCGAGACGTAGAGCGTCGGAATGTAGAGCGGCTGGACGTAGAAAGGGCATCGGGTCATACAACGTCGTATAAAAGAGAGGGCGTCGGGTGGTAAAACGTCGGATAGGATAGAGGTCGTCGGGACGTAGAGCGACGTATAGGAGAGAGAGCGTCGAGACGTATAGGCGTTCGGGAGATAAGTCGTCGACGTAGAACGTCGACAGAAGGTAGGATAGGATAGGCGTCGTTTAAGAAGAGCGTCTATTTAGGAAAGTTACTAAATACTGAACGTGACATATAACTAAATTTGAAAAGAAAACTCAAGTTCCTCGGGTTCGGGTATTTATACCTGTTTTAATGACTTTTTTTGTGACGTCAATTTGTCGTAACTCCGATGGGATCGAATTTGGGTAGATTTATTACGTTCCTTGAGAAATTCTCGGAATTTTGTGCCGATATCATGTCGAAATCGGTGACTTAAGACAGGCGCGTTAACTGTTCTAGTGATTATTACTTCGTAAAAAGAAATATGTTTTATGGAGGTTTTTGGGTCGAATTCTCATGGGTTCCCAGACACGTAGAAATTAGTTCTTATGCGGACAAGGTTATTGATTTTATTAATTTTGTAAATAAGCTTTAATTATCTAGGAAATTTTTCGTTAAATGAAGGATTTTAATTTTAATAAGAATGCAACTTTTCTTTAATAACGTGGAATTAATAAATTATTTAAGTTATTTGGGTGCGGTAGGTTACATTACTTAAATAATTTGCATAATTTGTCAGTTAAGAAGGAGTATTATCAAATTCCATGTTAGAATCATTATATTCACCCATTTTGGAATTTATTTTCGACTCAACAAACGAGACTCATTTTTATTCAGGCAAATTCAAACTAAATAATAATTATAATACGTAGCGTAGAACAGTCAATCATGAAATTCATGGCTATCTACGATGCGGGCGTGATATTCACATTCATTAGCCAGTAGCTATTACAGACTGAACATTCTGTCACTAGAGTTAAATTGAAATAGATGTAAAATACATAAGAGATAAGTTTTTCAGAATTTTCTTTCAATCTCAAGAGCGAAAATGTTTTCTTTCTGTAAGTGATTTCGGAAACACTACATTCAGTAGTGACCGTGGAGAGAAAATTTTTTTGGGACTTTTTTACAATTCATAAATTGTTATTTTTAAACTTTCATAAGAACAAAGTGGTTTTTACACTACATTATTATGAATAATAATTACTTTTATATTGCGGATTCCAGCTAACAGTTCTTCAATCTGTTTTTGGAAATATGCCTCTTACTATTGTGATGCTGATCCTGAATTAACCTGTCTCTAATAACTTTTCTTTGTATGACTTCCATAGCAGCCATTCCAGTGACTTCACGATCTTTTAACAAACAAATATACTTGTTTTTGCGTGGACATTCTTCTAATTGCTGCACCTATATCTATCACACACTTATAATAAACTTATAACCCACCGATTCAGCTCACCTGTCATGAAAGAGCTGAATACCTCCTTTGTCGCTGTAGGAAACCAGTTTAAAGGATATGCAATAGTTGCCACTAATGTCTCAGTAGCGCTATTAATAGAGAGTTATTGCAAGTTCACTTAAGGTCAGTCACTATTAGTGCCGCTCTTATTTTGACATCTGAGCATGCGCAGATCACTAACTTTAATAAAGATTGTGCCTGTCCTTAATAGAGAGATATTGCAAATTTCCATAAAGCCAGCCACTAAATTTTAAATTATAGTTCATCTTTTTTGTTGTCTATAATATTAAAGAGGCATTAGAAATTATAATTTTAGAAGGTTTAAATGACGATTATATTAAATATTTAATATTAAAAAACTTCTAACGGCAAGCGTATCCGAAAACTATAAAGTCGCCACTACCAGCTGCCCTTAAACATCCACAATTAAGGACAGGCACAATCCTTAATAAAGTCAGTTTTAAAACGTAAATATTTGCGCATGGTCAGATGTCAAAATAAGAACGGCACTAATAGTGACTGACCTTAAGTAAACTTGCAATAACTCTCTTATTAAGGACAGACACAATCTTTATTAAAATTAGTGATCTGCGCATGCTCAGATGTCAAAATAAGAGCGGCACTAATAGTGACTGACCTTAAGTGAACTTGCAATAACTCTCTAATACTAAATACATTAATCTGTAAATACAAGTAAATATAACCCACTTTGGCGCCTATTTTGTAACGTTTTAGTTAATTTCAACCGCCAGGTTAAAAGGTTATTTATAACTCTGCTGTCTAAATTTTAAGCCAAATCTCTACTCGGTATTCCATCAGATTAACTTTTTGATAATATTTATTTCATGACCAGCCCCGGTTATAATAGACATGGCAACGTTGTAATATACCCAAAGGTACCATTTGGCAACGTGCGACAAGCGACGCGAGACAGAGACAGAAGTAAGGCGGCAAATATTG